TGCCGATAGTCGAGGGAGCGACGCAGTTAGGTATCCCTGATATATAAATCTGTGCAAAATTTGCAAGATAGATAATGAAACTCCTGGTGCCGTGACGTAGAGATAAACCTAGGCAGTGTCCGATTAAGGTGCCAGGGCAATCGTGAAGAAATTATTTCTTTCAGAATAATAACAGAAAAATCGTCATATAAGTAGATCAAAAGAACTTTTTTTATTAATTAGAAGGCATTTGTAGTAAACATCCTGAATACAAATAGTAAATTCGCTTGCATGCCAATTATCTTGGGTTGGGGTCTGAGTGAATACATCCTGCGAGATTGCCAGATATCCTTTTATTTCAGTCAGTTCCTCAATAAGAGATTGCATTATAGATTGTTGATGTGATGGCGATAATGAATCCCAATTATGAAGACATGTCCAGGGCTCTTCCAAGACTTTCTGATAGGCCATCGATGTCCTAAGACATGAAATATCCATATGGGGAACGACAAATTCCTCTTCTGAATCTGAAAAAATATAACAAACGATTAAAGACAAAATTAGCTATGACTTGCAGACGTAAAATGTGGTAACCAAAACCTTCTGGCTTCTTGTAACATCTAAGCACGTGCTTAGCAGTCGAAGCCATCACGCACGTGAAAGCCGATGCTTTGATTAGCCTTAGCCAGACCTGTCAAGGGCATTATTATATATTTGCTATAATTTTTTCTGAATCCAAAAATTCATTCAACGTAATATTTCTCATCTTAAAATTTATTTCGCCACTGTTTTTTTGAGCTTACTAAAATCGGCAGAAAAAACAGATAGCAAAATAAATTTTAAGATGAGAAATAATACGTTAAATGAATTTTTGGATTCAGAAAAATTATAGCAAATATATAATAATGCCCTTGGCAGGTCTTGCTAAGGCTAATTGAAGCATCGGCTCGCACGTGCGTGATGGCTTCGACTGCTGAGGATGTGCTTAGAGGTTACAAGAAACCAGCAGGTTTTAGTTACCACATTTTACGTCTGCTCGTCATAGCTAATTTTTTCTTCAATCGTCTGTTATATTTTTCAGATTCAGAAGAGGAATTTGTCGTTCCCCATATGGATATTTCATGTCTTAGGACATCGATGGCCTATCAGAGAGTCTTGGAAGAGCCCTGGACATGTCTTCATAATTGGGATTCATTATCGCCATCACATCAACAATCTATA